GGGGAGTTAGGGAATTCACCCCTTTTAAGCGAGGGTGGATTTCCCTCTGGGGAATCTGAATTCCTGAATCCTAAAATTTAGCCAAAAAGGGAATTTCTTTTTTTGGATATTTTAGAATAATCTATTAAATTAAATTATATTATCTCCAATTAGCCCTAACCTGAGCAATTTCAGCTACTAGAAGATAATCCACCAATGGAAAGAAACTATACCTGCCTAGGAGCCAAAGTTGTACGTCTGTTCTGCTGGGCGAGATCAGTCAAGACTGGGATCTCGTGGTCCAGGACAGGCGTGGCAACTTTGGCTGACTGATCTGATTGGGCAGGAATACAGTCTCAACCCATTGAGTGGATTATCCATCTCCAGTGCTGGAGAACAACTCTGTTTTCCTAATCCATTTCTAGATAACTGTGCATTTTATTCCACCTGTCTAATTAATGAATTGTGGGGAAAATCCATTATCTTCTTTAGGCTAGAGCAATATATTTTGTTGGATTGTGAAATTCTAATTTGGTAAATCTGTTAAAACATAACCTGTCAAGTTGTTTGACTGTACACATTCATTATTCCATCCCAAGGTGCATTCCCCCCCTGCAAAGTTTAAATTGGACATCCCTAAATATATATTCTATTCTTAATTCATTGCATAATTTCCTGATAGCATTGTTGAATTCTTTTGGACATAGATTTGATGCATGTAAATCAGTGGTTCTCAATCTTTTTAATGCCGCGACCCCCAACTGGTCGTAAGTCAAGGACTACTCAACTGGTGCAGCACCATTTGCAGAATGGGACTTTTGGCGGGCTCAGCAGGGCAGAGACAGCCTGGACAATTCCTATAGGCTTTTGAAAGCCAATAGAATTAGACTCTATTCAAGAGAGTCTATTCTATTGGCTTTCAAAAGCCAATAGAATAAAAGGGAGTAGCACAGCTAAGGAAAAGGAGAAAAAAATGGCAGACTGCGTTGTTTGGCGACCCCCGTGAAATGGTCATTCGGCCCCAAATGGGGTCCTGACCCACAGGTTGAGAACCACTGATGTAAATAGTTGTTGTCTAATTGTTAAGATTAACCACACCTACATTATACTGTGACCCAATTTGATACAGTGATTAAGGCACCAGGATAGAAACCAGGAGACTGTGAAATCTAGTCTCACTTTAGGCATGAAGCCTGCTGCATGACCTTGGGCCAGTCATTCTCTTTCATCCCTAGAAAGGAGGCAATGACAAGCCATTTTTGTAAAACTTTGCCAAGAAAACTACAGTGACTTATCCAGGCAGTTGCCAGGAATTAGAAACTGATGTGAAGGCACCATAAATAAAGCGTACATTGTTATGTATTATTCTGGTCTGCACTACAACTGAAAGTTACAATGTTGAAGTACAAATTAATTATCGCTAAGTGGGAAGATTTTCCAAACTTACTAGTGGATAATTTAATAATTTATGTTCTGCACTCAATTCATTGACCTGTAAGTTGCTTTTTGAAATGTATTAGCTGATACTTTCAAATTATATTTAATTTTGAGACCTGTATGTTATAATTAAAAATGATACCACTCCAAATTATGGTTAATTGCAGCTTCTGGCATGCATAGAAGACATAGCCATTGATGAGGAATGCTGGAAATTGTAGTGCTATAGCTCCAACCTCTTTCTCCCAATTTTTCCTCCCATTTTTCTGAACTATTATAATGAGTTATGAAATATTCCTAATGTTTTATTTTTAAATGGTACATAAATTGTAGAAGAAACAACTCAAAGTTTGAGATACCAGAAATCATGGTAAAATATGAAGTCCACTAGTATGATAAAAATGAAGGCTAAAAAGATATAAAACCTACTGATAAATTAGATTTCAGATTCAGAAAATGAGAATGATAAGTGGCAAATTATGAATCTTCCTTTATTTCCCCCTCCTGAAAATTGGCATTTTTAAAACTGTTCAATATATTGGAAGATGGAGTATGTAACTTTTTATCATTTGAGTCTTTTTTTCAGTGTTAACCTTTACAGTACCCTAGCCTGCAGAATGGAAGAAATGTTTATATTCATTATAATTCAACAGTTTGTACCAAAAAATAAAAACAATTTAAGAGAAATTCAACCAATCAATTCATAATTATCTGAATAAAGTATGCTTTATTTTTATGAGGTAATGATACATAAAACATTTTATAAAGAAATAATGTTACGGTAATTTAGCACCAGGAATGCTAAAAATAAATATTGCCCATATTTCAAATCTCTTCCCCTAATGTTATGCAAGTAATATTAAAGACTTTAGAAAATATTTTTTCTGTTGCATTTAGCATTGCAGAAATTTTATATATACTGCTCAAAAAAATAAAGGGAACACAAACATATAGGATCTTATACATTTGTGTTCCCTTTATTTTTTTGAGCAGTATATTTTCTTTTCCATCTTTCTATATCTCAATTGATATCCAATTTCTGTCTGAAGCTGAAAATTTAGAAAATAGAGAAAACGTGTTTTAAAGCTTCCTAAGAGCAAAACATAATGATTACTTGAAATTCCCATGGACCTACATCATTGTAAATATACATATAATTATTTTGGAAGTGTAATAGAAAAGAATATTTGTGACATCAGTGTTTTACTACATACTTATAAGGGAATGGTATCTTTAGATAGCTTTTCTTGGTGCCTAGTTCTCAATATCAACATGGCAGATTTTATTGTCTTATAACTTAAAGTATCTTGCATCAACATTCTATCCTTTTTTGTGATGAATAAGGTTTTTTTGGATGGGTGAGTGGGTGGGCAGAATCTATATGGGAAAAATATACTTAGACCTCTAGCCATATAGGACTTTAATGGTAGTGGCTATAACCTTGAATTGCAGTTAGAAACAGCAATAGTGTAATATGGCACTATCACAAGCTATCAATAAGTGCACAGTCCATTGCCCTTTATAGCAGCAGAAATTTCTGGGTGGCCTTCAAGCATAAACTAAACAATATATCACAAAAAGCATGAGTGATGGTCCCCAGTAAATCCTGTTTTAGGGAGAGCCACAATTAGTATACCAGCAGAAGCTGAGCAAAAAACTCTCTAGGCATAGCGGGCATCTGTTCCACCTATTACCACATGAGCTATGACTCCCCAATAGCCCTCTCCTCGATGGTTAGCCCATTTTCTTGGGGGTAGCATACAATGTAGGTATAATCTTAGAATCAATAATTATTCCCACCTGCTTGGGTTGTTGTTTAAGACTAGTCTTCCCATTCAAATTCTGACATTTTTCCAGGATTAGGGTGAGGTTAGCTTCTCACTGAGTGAGTACTTTTTTGCATCTCCATTAGAATCGAACTCTGAAGCATCACATTAAAAAAGAGAGGAACATCTTCATCCTTGCCACCACTGGCTGAAATTGCCTGCTCTTTGTGCTCTTTGCACAATAGGTCCAAAATTTAGGTATCTATTAACTGATGAAAGACTTGATGCTCTAGCCCAGTGGTGGTGAACCTATGGCATGGGTGCCAAAGGCGGCACTCAGAGCCCTCTCTGTGGGCACGCGCACTGTCACCCCAGTCCTAGGCCTTCAGCTGGGTTTTATAAAACCTTTTCGCTTTAGGCCTCCGCCGCCGTGTACAAAAAAAAAAAAGGTTCAATCAATCAATTTCAACTTCTCATGGAAAAAAAAAGATATTGCAAAGTTGGAATTGATTGATTGAACTTTTTAGTCCCACCCAGTCTGCTGTTACCACCACAGCCACGCCCATCCAATGGGCCACACCCACCCAGCACCCGATGATGCATATGAGGCTTCATCTTGTCCTAAACTTCAAAGTTCCCCAGAGAACCTCCCATTCTGTAATGAATTTTTTTTTAAAATGTAGCAAGGATATTGTGTTATGCTTACTGGTGTGTGGAGGAAAGCTGAGCAACAATATTCTACTTTTTCTGAAATGAATGCTATTTTAGTTGTTTGAGCTAAAATGATTCACAGAAATAGTAAATCTCTGTTTTCAGTGGAGAGCATTGTCACATCACTGTTGGCAATCTCTTAAAATATTTTTGATAGTCAATCAATCCATCCATCCACCCATCCAATTTATTTGGCTGCCTAATCTCACAAAAAAGGGCAGCATACAACAAAATTATAAAACAATAATATATATTAAAATTTACTATTTAAAATTTTTTAAAGCTATTATTAAAAGCTAAGGGAAGACAGTAAATATTAAAAGCAATGGAGTCACCTCAGTAACTAATTGGCTCCCCAATTCTCTGTGTGAAGATTTAATATTCAAGAATTTTAAAATAAGCACAGATTGAAATAATATCATTTTCTATTTAAAAAACTAGAATACTGTCTCCATATTTTAAACCACTAACCTCAAAAAACAATAATGCTGTTATTAAAAAAGTTGGGTTAAAATTGATACACTCTGGAATGGAACTGCAGAACCAGATTGCCATAAGTTTGTTACACATTAAATAACATTTAAATTGAAAAACTTACTAAGTTTGAAAGCATTATCAAAGAAAAATGAAGAGGATTTAAACAAGTTTCTCACTTAAATGTGAAAAAAAAAACTTGTTAATGGGGATACATACCAAATTCTCCAATAAAACCTATTGTTTTACAACCAAGTAAAGCAGTTGTATACTTAACTTGAAAATTCAGCACCTTTTCAGTTGATGTGTACAGAATTGTGTATATGTATATCCCATACACAATCCTAGATGTAATGAATAATCAGAGTTGGGGGGGGGTGATTTTATTTTGTATGTACTCAAGACATGCACCATTAATTGTTCTGTCTCTTTGAAAGCATCATTCTTTCTTTAAACATAACTCTTAACATGGTGGTAATGTTATTAATACAGTTTCGATACCAAATAAATATTTTTGATATACATTTACATCTTAGAGAGGGATGTAGTCTGGAACATGCTTCAGGATAGCTAGACCTCTCTAACTGATCACCAGATGCTAAGCTAAGTGACCTTGTGTTTCTTAATTGGCAGGGGAAGTCATTTCCCTTTGTTCAGCTTTGCTGCTATACCACTGGTTGAGGGGAGGAAAAGAAGATTGTGGCAGCAAATACCAATTGAAGGCAGTAACTGCTTCATCACTCTTGTAGAGAGTAAGGAAGGATGATCTTGGAGGAGGTATGCAAGAGCCATTGCCTAGGCAAAAAGGGCTGACACATGTTATAAGCCTAGAATAGCAGGATAATATTCAAAAGTAGTTCAGGTAGATGCCTGTCTAATTCACTGAACTATAAGAAGCATAATCAGACTTGATGGAGTCTATTATTATAACTAATCTTAATAAGAGTAGTTTCAGCCTTACTGTGGAGTTGTCTATCCAGTAGGGCTGACAACTGTAGAGTGTCTTGGTTGGTTGGGATAGGTTTGTTTCTTTCTATATACAGTTTTGCTAGAACTCAGTGCATATATGAAACACATCTGACTCAATCCAGATAAAAGTATGTGGAAGATGATAGCTTGAAAGATGACAAGTAGATGGGAGTGTTTCCATCTAATCATTGGAGATCCTCCTGACTCTTTAGCCGCATGGCACTCAGCAAAACTTCCTACTTTTGGGAGTGGCTTTTTGGGAATTGGGAGAGAAGATGGTAGAAGACACCCATATGTTGCTTGCCTATCTCTTTTCAACTCATTACAGTAAAATCTTGATTGTTCAGATCTCAATGCAATGGACTTTGCATCGAATGAATCAATTTTCTGATTGATTACAGGTGGCCCTCATTTAACAACCACTCACTCAGTGACCATTTGAACTTATGACTGCACTGAATGAGTGGTAGTTATAATTGGAGCTCAGACTTAACACGGTTGCAGCATCACCACAATCACATGATCATCATTTGCAATCTTCCCTGCTGGTTTCAGCCAAGCAAAGTCAAGGGGGAAGCCTGCAAGAAGTTGGAAGTCACAGTCACATGAGGTCCTTACTTAACAACCTGTACAATTCCTCCTTTAATATTGGCAACTGGGACTGCTGGAACTGCTGTTGCTAAGCATAGTCACAAGATTTTTTTGGCTTAATGATGGAGTTTCTGGTCCCAATTAGCATCATTAAACAAAGACTACCTGTCATTTCATTTGTGTAGTGGTGTCACAATACAAACAGCACAATTTATATTATTTGTGTAATTATGTAACGCAAATCACTTTGAGTTATTCTGAAATGTATTGATACTGTAGTTATCAATTGTTAATAGTTCAGTAATTCTGAAATTTGTTAATACATTTTGACTTATTTATCATCACAATTGGGACCAAAATTTCAGACACAAGTCATTGTGGTTATAAATTGAGAGAACTGATTTTGCAATAATTTGTATGATGGTGGTTAAATGAAACACTGCAGTTGTTAAGCAAATTCATCTTCCCCAATATCTTTTGTTGGAAATTGGCAAAAAGTTTGCAGATCACAATCATGTGACCTTAGGATGCTGCAACTGGTCAAAAAGTGCAAGGCAGTTGTCAAGTGCAAATTGTAATTATATGACCACAGGGATGGTGCAATGGTCATAAGTGCAAATATAGGTTACTTTTTCCAAGGCCATCATAACTTTGAACCATTGCTTAAATAGTGGTCATAGGCCCAAGAACTATACGTAACTGAACGTTCTTCAGATAGTCCATTAAAATAAGATTTCATTTTTTTCTTTTAAATACAGATTTGTTTTAAAATAAATGGCATTTCAGTCAGACTCTAGCCGCATGAGAATTGTCTGATGTGATAGGATTGAAAAGAGGAAAGTTTATGGAGAAGAAGAATTATTAGCAAACATAGGATTCATAATCACATTGAGTGCATGTTTCATTGCATCCCATCCACTTATTTTTTAAAAAAATACGTACACATACTTCTGGGCATGCAGTTTAACTCATTTTGTCTTTGTTTGTTTTAAGCAAAACTTAGATAAATATATCTATGTCCCTTTTTATGTTTAATGTGAAGATAGATTATAGCTGAAATAAGAAAACTATACTGAACTGTTGTGCTGTCATTTCTAGGAGGAGAGACTTCAGCATGCAAACCTTCATCTGTTCGGCTTGCACCATCATTTTCATTCCATGCTGCTGGCCTTCAGATGGCTGGACAGATGTCCCATTCACATCAGCAGTACAGTGATCGTCGACAGCAGAACATAAATGACCAACAAGTTTCTGCCTTACCATATGCTGATCAGATTCAGCAGCCTCCTACTAACCAGGTACGTTGACTTTAACACTTGTAGAAAGATAACATTTTACTTAAAATAGAGCACATTCTTCTGTTAACAATTCTGTATAATTTAACTCATATTTCGCTGCTAAGCATTTGGAAATATTGGTTTGAAGTAACATACAAATTCTGCAATAAGTATATTTCATTTTCTGCAGGGAAGAATATATTTTTTATTTATTTTGCCATGAATCCACTGTGATTGCAGTGGACTGCACAATTTTTTTTGCAATATATAATTGCAAGGCTGTGTCATATTTACTTGTAATATTTTGCCAAAGGGGCTGCTTAACAAAAGTAGTGTATTCAAGATTTAACTTTTATTCATTTTTCTGTTTCAGTCATAACCTGAAAACACAAGTGTTAAAGGTACCTAATATAAAGGATCTGTAAAGCCAGTTTATATTTGGATATAAATAAAACTTCCTTAAACACTTAGACACCTCATTATAGGAAAATATGTTCATTATATTTGCTTTGTATTAAAAGTGCATAAAAGATTTGTGAATATAAGTAGACTTGGAGTCTATCAGCTGGCAACTGGTGTTATCTTAAATATTTCTATTGGGGTTATGTGGGACACTTAGGATCACATCCTGATTTTATGTTTGCATAGTTTTGTTCTTAATTATTTTCTTTATTGAACTTCTTAATTACTTTCTGTTAGATAGCAAATCTAAATTAGATACAGGTACTCCTCAACTTATAACCATTTGTTTAGTGACCACTTGAAGTTACAACACCACTAAAAAGGAGGACTTATAATCATTTTTCACATGATCGTTGCAGCATTCCCAGGCTCACATGATAAAAATTTGGATGCTGGGCAACTGGCATGTATTTATGATGTTGCAGTGTCCCAGGGTCATGTGATCATCTTTTGCAACCTTCTGACAAGCAAAGTCAATGGGAAAGCCAGATTGATTTAACAATCATGTTATTAACTTAACTGCAGTAATTCGCTTAGCAACTCTGGCAAGGTCATAAAATGGGTCAAAATTCACTTAACAACTCTCTTAGCAAGAGATATTTTGGGCTTAATTGTGGCCCAAATAATTTATCAACTTCTCTAATATCTTCGTGTCTAATGTTATTACTTGCTTATCACTCAGCAAGTGAACATCCATTAGATCAGAGGTCCCCAACCGTTTTGATACCAGGGACTGGTTTCATGGGAGACAACAATTTTTCCCTGGGTGGGGGGTAGGGAACGGGAGGGAAGGGAAGGTTTCAGGATGATTTAAGCGCATTACGTTTATTGTAAATTTTCTAAACAAACAAACAAATAATGTGTTTTATTTCTATTATTGTATTAGATTAGACCACTTCTAAGAAAGTGGGAAAGAAAAGAGACAATCCTAAACTTAGCCTTCCAGCAAAGCAAACCAAAGAACCAACACGCTGAGGAAGTGCTGAAAAAAAAAAAAACATTAAAAAGAGAGAGAGAGAGAGAGAGACCAAACCAACTCAGCACTGCGCAAGCCCAGCAGCCTTGGAAAAGGTGTAAATGCGAGAGGGATTCCCTTGGAGACACAGTGCTTAAGGGGAAATGTAGCTTCTCCCCTTCCCATTGTAAGCCGGGTAGGAGTGCACTTGGCTTGCAAACTTGGAGAGCTTCACAAAGAAAGGAGGAACACACACACACACACACACACACACACACAAATACACCAAATTAAACCTCGAAAAGTAGGCAGGATGTTGCCAAAACTTGAGGCACCTGGAGCATCAAAATAAAAGCAAAAAAACTCCAGTTGAAATGCAGCGGAGCCCAGCGGTCTTAGAAAAGTACAGAAGAGAGAAAGAATCCTTTGGAGACGCAGTGCTTAAGGTGAAAGGTAGCTTCTCCTGCCCCTATTTGCACCCTGAGAAAGACACACACACACACACACACACACACACACACACACACACACACGCCTTGGGGAGAGGAGCCTCCTCCAAGGCTTTGGGGGAGCCCCCGGTTGCAATCTGGACTGGCGCACGTTTGTCTTCCAAACTTGGAGGGTTGCACGAAGGGAGAGCGAGTCCTGCTGGGGGAGGGGGAGGAAAGTGAGGAAGAAGAGAAGGAGGAAGAAGAAGTAGCAGGAGGAAGAGGAGGAGGCAGAAGAAGAGGTAGCAGAAGAAGCAGGAAGAGGGAGAGGAGGAAGGACACAGCTCAGATGTTATAATCCAGTTGCAAGCGCAGCCGTCAGAGGACCTTGCACTTACCAAGACAGCTTCTGCTCTGCCACTCTCCCGCCCCTACCCAGACCCCTGCAGGCTTGCCGCATTCCTGGAGGTAGAAGACATGTTTTCAGCACACCTGCAGCTGCACGACCAGTTCCTAAGTGGCTGCGGCCCAGTACCGGACCGGGAGTTGGGGACCCCTGCATTAGATCAATCAGCCACTGTCACCTGCAATGTTGTCTTCTGTTTTAAACAAATTGTATCACTGAGACATTACTGTGAAGAAACTACTACTGAAAACAACAGAGACTCTTGATGAATTCTTTAGTTTAAAGTAGCTGAGTGAGCAAAGCTGTGAACATTTATAAATGTGTCTTGATTCAGTAGACTTTTGATCAGAAGGAATATTATTAAAAGTTTTTTAATGCTACAGCTCCACCTGGTGGTCAGATGAAAATCCATTCACAGATCATATTTACTATTACAGGAAATTAAAATACTAAATTTGATATAATTCACTCTCTGATTATTTAATATAAAAATGTAAAGGAAATGATGTGTACTATATTTGCAGATGTCATAGTAGAGTAATCTGAAATTAGGTTCATAATTCAAGTAAAAAATGAAATTTGTTTTTTTTTATCACAAGTACGTAAGGTCTGTTAAGAACTCACATTGGCTTATACATTAATAAAAAAGGAAGAGTTTGATCTGGTCAGTTAAAATCATATTAAAGTCAGTATTGTTAAAATCAATTAACAGCTAAAAAGTTAGCAAATAGATTCATCTTGTCACTTCCTTAAGAGAATGGAGACCAAACATATCTTAATGAGGAGTACGTGCTATAGCCTATGCACCACCTTAGGAATAGTTCATCTCTTGTTTATTAAGTACCAAAGTATTGGCAGTAGAGGCATTTTAAAATGCACTTTTTTCTGATCTGGGTAGCTGGATAGGTTATAGTGGGGAATGTACTTCAGATTTGTTTAAGATTTTAAAATTAACACCAGAATCTATCTTTATTTATTCAGTTTATATTGCCACCACTCCCACATCCATGTCTAAAGGTATATTACCAATAGGTAAAACCAGTGGTGGGATTCAAATATGTGAACAACTGATTTTCTATGTGGATGCCGCTTCCGGAAGTCCATTCTGGGCCTGGGCAACAAAAAGTGGTGCAAACTGGCTGAATCTCACCACTGGGTAAAACCTAAGCTGGGCATCATCCAAACAATTCAACATAACTCGAAGATGGCTATGTTGTTACACACCCAGGGCTACAGACAGAGACAATGTAATATCATGGGGATGATGTTCCAAGCAGCAGGTGCAATCAGAAAAGGCTCTCCTAAGCCCCACCAGTCAATACTTCCTAGCCAACAGTACCCGGAACATGTACCTACTTCTGGATCAGGTGGGATATTTGGGGAGAGTCAGTCTATTAAGTAACCTGGTCTTAAACCATGAAGAGCTTTAAAAGTGACAATTAGCACCTTCAATTGCAACCAGAAGTGCACCAGCAGTTGCTGCAGTTCATGTTAATTGATGTCATATATGCTGGGTATCTAATAAATTAACTGCTGCTATATCACGTTCTTCATTAATGGAAACTTCCAATTGTTCTTCAAGTTCAGTCCTATATAGAGCACATTACAATAATCAAATATAGAGATTATAATAATTGTCCAGTATCATGGGATATAGTGATGGCCTTGGGGGCAGATCACAGCCTCCTTAAGAGATGATGGAACCATTCCCTCTCTCAAAAAAAAATTAACTACTGTCAGAGCCTAATCTCATTTTCCTTCCAGTCTCAGGAGGCAATGACCAGACAGAAGGGCATGTAGCTAACAGAAGTTGCTGTTCTAACAGCTCCAAGGCTATTGAAGGAAGACTCTGTTGTCTTCCTTGGTCCTATCTTGTGATAGTAAGAACAGAATAGGATCAGACTCCTTAGATAACTGACCTAGACCTAATGCCAATAATTGCCACAGGACCTGCAACATGGTTAGAGTTCAACTTAGAGCAGATAAAATTGACTAGCACAGGTATCCTGGGTCCACGGACTGGTACTGGGCCACAGCCACTTAGGAACTGGCCGTGCAGCTGCAGGTGTGCTGAAAACACGTCTTCTACCTCCAGGAATGTGGCAAGCCTGCAGGGGTGTGGGCAGGGGTGGGAGAGTGGCAAAGCAGAAGCTATCTTGCTCAGTGCGAGGTCCTCCGACCTGCGCTTGCAACTGGTTTGCATCTGAGCTCTGTGTCCTTCCTCCTCTCCCTTCTCCTCCCCCTTCTGCCTCGTCCTGCTCCCTCTTCCTCCTCCTCCTCCTCCTCCTCCTCATCTTTCTCACTTTCCTCCTCCCCCCTCCCAGGCACTCCAGCTGGACTCGCTCTCCCTTTGTGCAACTCTCCAAGTTTGCAAGACAAACGCGTGCCAGCCCAGATTGCAACTGGGGGCTCCCTCAAAGCCTCAGAGGAGGCTCCCCTCCCCAAGGCATGTATGTGTGTGTGTCTTTGGGTGCAAATAGGGGCAGGAGAAGGTACTTTCACCTTAAGCACTGCGTCTCCAAGGGATTCTTTCTCTCGTGTGCACCTTTTCTAAGACCGCTGGGCTCTGCTGCATTTCAACTGGAGTTTTTTGCTTTTATTGCTCCAGGTGCAATAAGAAGTGGTTTTTTCCACCACCTCTTCAGCATTTTTTAAAGGTGGTTAATCTAATACAATAATAGAAATAAAGTGCATCATTTGTTTGTTTGTTTCTTTAGAAAATTTAAAATAAATGTAATGCACTTGAATAATCCTGAAAACTTCCCTCCGC